TATCTTCATTTTTTTCGAAAATCTTTATAGAAAGAAAAATAATCCTATTTATTCAAATATAATGGATTATGATTATTTAAAAAAATCTTCTTGCTTGCTATTGTCATTTGTTCATAATTGTTCTTTATCGATTATGTAGACTGCCTTTTAGCCTACAAAAACCCATTATAAATGATTTTTATACATAAACCTTCGGTGCGGGTCGATCCAACGCAGATTCGAACCCTCTTTCCCTCATTAAATAATACTTGATGATTAGTTGATATTAAGTTCTGAAAAAAGTTCCCTACCAGACTCGAGTATTTCGTCTGTTGATCCCCATCCACACGTGTTACTTCTCTACACTACTTTAGAAGGTTAGAACTCGAGAAAACACTTAATAGCTTAAAGTTAAATAATAGCAAAATAACCTACAGTAAGAACAGAAAAAATATTTTAATTTCCAAATTGCCTAACAATTCCCGCACTGAAGTTTGATGGATAGTAATCCATTATATCGGATTTTTGTTGTCTGCCGCTCTAAAAATTGAAAACTATAATTTATAATGGATTAGAATTGGATTACGTTGTTACTGTTTTTGGAAAAAAAAAACTATTCTCAATCGATTTTAAAAATGTTTATAGAGAAAAATATAATCCATTTTTTGTTCAAATATAATGGATTATGATTATTTAAAAAAAATCTTCTTGCTTGCTGTTGTCATTTGTTGATAATTATTTTTTTTTATTATGTAGACTGCATTTTAGCCAACAAAAATCCATTATAATTGATTTTTATACATAAATCTTCGGTGCGGGTCGACCCAACGCAGATTCGAACCCTCTTTCCATCCCGTTTTTTACTTTAGTGTATGGCGCAAAATGTTCTTCAGCGATTTCAAGAAGCGTATCATAATATCACAGGGTGTAATTTAAAAAAAAACAAATTTTTAAACTTTCTCTCTGTTGAATTATTACTCCGAAGCAGTGATGATTACGTTCATTAGCAAATAAATCTCATATGAATCAATGAACTGAACATAGATGGCCCATAGTTATGTCTGATTGAGCTAAGTTACAAATACACTTCCCAAGATTGCTGTATAATTCTCGAGCAGTACTGATTTGCTGCTCGACGTCAAAAAGGGAGCGCATACCGAATTTAATCCTAACTATGCGCTTCGTCAAAATATCATGATAAAATGGTCTAAAGGTTATTTATACGCCAAGTTGAATCACAAAAATTGTATATCTTTCTCCGCTTGATAAACCTGACTGTTTTCATTGTAATTCTAACAATTAAAATCAAATCCAAACGTTTTTTTGAATGCCATTTTTTTTCAACAAAATCAAAAGGAGCTAAAGAGCTGGATCATGATGTTGTTTCATTTCAGCAGAGACAGTAATATCAAAAGGGGGATCTTCCGGCAACTCGTTCAATTGGTACTTTCCTCAACCCTATCTGCAAGGTCCCTTTATTCAGGTGCTCGCTTACTACAATATCCCCTGGCTGCCTAAGTTGGAAGCTGATGGTTATTTTTCACAACTGAGAGGCACCGTCGAAACTTTTTGCACCCAGCAGACTGTATTGGACATTAATGGAATGAAAACAATCGAAAATGGTTTTTATGAGTCACCTGATGGAAAATATGTGATCACTTTTGATAACATGAAACATAATGGAATAATAATTAGGAGAAAAACGCTCAATACAGAGATTCTCAACAACTACCAGCATGGAAGTGAATGGAGTTGGGATCAACTGAGAATGAGCGAACTGGGTTTCCTTCACCTATCAAACAGTCAAACAAATGTAAGAACCATAATTGATAATGCATCTTTCCCAAACCAACAACCCCCCCCCCCCCCCATCCACCCCGCCGACAATTTAAAACTCAGTTTTGGAAGACAGTAACATAATTTGTCGTTAGTTTTACGTTAACAAAATTATACGAATTTTTTTTTGAGGTGAGCAAATTAAATATTCTGAAGACGTTTTTTGTTCATATCTTACATCGTGATATCAGGCTTTAAAGTTATGTCTCGTAAAACTACTTTTAAAATATTAAAATGTCGGTTGTGGGAGTGTGTTTTCTGCTATACGAACCAAAATAGCAAACTATTAATTTGAACTTCTGTTTTATATGAAAATTCAATAACATTTTTGCTGGAACTAATTTCTGTTATGATTCAGTGTTAGAGCAACTAGGATTAAAAGCTGGGGTTAGAAACTGAGATAGAATCTGAGGTTTGAACTGAGGATTGAGAAGAGGTAGTGATTGTTGAAGAACAAAATGAAAGAAGTAAATATAAATGACATGACAAACTAAGCATCACAAAAGTACTAGTTAATTAATTACTGGCTAATTATTTAGTTTGAGATCACTAGTTGACTTTGTCTGAGTTTAATTAGTTTCGAATACGATTCAATTAATCTGTCTGACCTTGAGATGGTCTGACCTCAACACACCCACTGAGGCTGAATTGGCTTTGTCCAACGTTAGGCTGCAACCCGTCAAGGTTTGACGATGCTGTTCCGCTTTAGCCTTGCTCAGGGCTTTTGTCAACAAGTCAGCTTCCATGAACTCAGTAGGAAGCTGACTGAGCAAAATGGTATTCATATCGATGTGTTTTTTTTGCTTCTGCATCACAGGATTCTTGTACATTTTGATACAGCTCTGGTTGTCCTCCTTGATGACAGTTGGTCAGTATCTCAACGAGAAGTGATCGCAGATAAAGAGCCTCTTGAACCGCTGCTGCCCTTGCTTGGTACTCAGCCTCACTGGTAGATATAGCTGCAGTTGGTTGCTTCTTGAAGCTCCAACTAATTGCTGCCCCTGCCTTCTGCAAATGAAAACTGCAGCCAGAAGTTGACCTTCTATAATCCAAATATCCAGGCCCGTCAGCATCTGCGGATCCATAGAGTTTTACACCACCAGCTTCATTAGTGTAGCACAGCTCCAGATCTTTGCTCCCCTCCAGGTAACGAAGAACTCATTTTGCAGCCACCCAGTGCACCCTTCCCGGATTCTCCAGGAAACGAGAGAGTTGCGTCACAGTAGCTAGGATATCAGGCTTTGTTTGCTTAGCTATGTACAAAAATGAGCCAACAATGCCTCTGTAGTCCTCAACCTACATGGATACTGCCTCTGCTGACCCAGCTTCAGGGCAGCCCTTCTTCGACAGTTTTGGGCTGATGTCCACTGGTGTGCCCACTGGTTTGTATTCATCAAGGTCAAAGCGCTCCAAGCAGTCGTCGATGTAACGAGATTGATCTACTGTTACCTTCCCAGGTGACTGCTCGACCTGTGTTTCCAGGAACCAGGACAGTGCGCCTCTGTCATCCATCTTGAATCGTTCGGAGAAACGGCTCCTCAGTTTGTCAACTTCTTCTTGACATCCGCATTCAATGATGATGTCAACTACCCAAACCAGTACATAAATCATTGCATCAATTTTTCCCCTCATAGTGAACAAACAGAAGTCGTTGCTGCTTCCAGTGAACCCTTCATCAAGAAGGAAAGTGCTCAGCGTCTGATACCAGTCTTTTCCTGCATGCCGCAGCCCATAGAGACTTCGTTGTAGTAAGCACACTTGGCTGCACCGGTGCTAAACCCCCTGTGGCTGCTCCATGTACATTGTCTCTGCTAGAGGAAAGTTGAGGAAGGCTGACTTAATATTCATCTGATGAAGTATAATACCATCTTGTTCCCCCAGAGCCAGCAGTATCTTTTTTGTTTCGGGTCTACAGGTTGGAGCAAACGTCTCATTGAAGTCAAGTCCTTCCATTTGCATGAGCCTTTTCACTACATATCGGGCTTTGAACCGCTCCACTTGTCCCATTGCATCTCTCTGTACCGCAAGAACCCAACGTCCAGGAAATACTTTTTGAGATTACTTCACCTCTAATGCCATAGCTGCCAGCCACTGCTCCTTTTCGGGTCCAGACACTGCTTCTGAATAGCCCCTTGGCTCTTGAATTCCAGTCACTGAAGCATGGGTATAGGTGAGTCCGTATCGAATTGGTGGGTTCCTTGTCCTAACGGACCTCAGCACAGGATGATCAGTAGAATGTGAATCTACTGCTTCCTCCTCGACCTGATTTTCCTCATTAGTCCCCACTGAATCTGTAGTATCATCCTCAGTTGGCGCGCTTCGTTTTCGTAGTGCTTGCTTGCTCAATATCAATGCACCCCTGGATTGATAGCTCCGGGGTTTGTAATGGCTCAACCAACAAGTCATCTGGAATGATGTTCTCATTGATTATCACGCTTCTTGCTCGCAACACTCTTCTTGTTTCTAGATCCATCAGCAGGTAGGCTTTGCTCTCCTCGTTTTAGCCGATGAACTTGCTTTTCTTGCGCTTTGGATCCAGTTTCCGTCTGTTGCCTCGGTCCAGATAGTACACCAGGCAAGCGAACACACGCAAATAGCTCACTTTTGATGGTTTCCCATAGTGCATCTCTGTCGGTGAAAGGCGCTTCTCGTTGCTGGATTTGGGACACAAGTTGCAAACCCTCACGGCTGTCGACATTGCTCGCACCCAGAACATCTTCGCTAGTTTGCTTCGGCCAGCAGACCTCGGTATTGTAGCGCTCTGCTTCACCATTCTGTTGGGGAGTATTGGGGACAGTGAACTCTCGCTTCACCTGGGTTTCTCTACAAAACCTCCTAAATGCATTTGACGAATACTCACCTCCATTGTCAGTTCGCAGGCACTTCGATGCTCCATGCTCAGCCACAAACTCCTGGAACTTCAGTAGAGCATCACTCTTCTTCACCAGGTACTTGACCACAACTAGCCGACTGAAGTCGTCGATGAAGCTCAAGGCATAGTAGCTCCGTAATTCAAATGGCCCCTGAATGTCACTGAAGACCCGTTGCCTCACTGCCGATGCTCTGCTTTCAGTCTTCTTAGGCACTGCTACTTCATGCATCTTAGAAGCTGTACACACTTCGCAGAACTCTAGCTCGCCCTCATTGACACTCGATGAAAGATCCTGCTGGTTGAGGTACCTCAGTCATGTGTGCCACAACATTGCATCTCTGTTATCCCTCCTTGTTTTCGTCACTAGAGTCATCGGCTTTCTCATGAACTTGCACTCAAGGAAGAAAAGCTTGCCCCGTCGCTTCACAGGTAGCTGTCCCCCATCTGATGCGAGTAGATGTGACGCATCTGCGGCGAAACTGAAGCTTGAGCCTCTGGCAACAGCTGAGCTCACACTCATCGAGTTCACACTGTAGCTCGGCACGAACAGCACATTGTGAAAAGTGTAGCTCCTCACAGCATCATGGCAGTCCCTGATCTCCACTTCCACTGGTCCTTTGCCCTCAATCCTTTACAGCGTTATGTAGGGGTTCATCACAGTTGTCCCTTCGTTCCAGCTCTCAAAGCTAGAAAAGACAGTCCTGTCGCGTATTCACAATGAGGTCATCTCCCTTCAATCAAGTTGCAGCACAACAACTGAAGAACCCTGTCCTCCTCTGCTTGCTCTCCCATCAAAAACGTCCAGGCTGCCCACACTTGGAACACCCTTGCTTCTTTGCTCCTAGCCCACTTGCTTCGTTCGACCCACTGCCTCGAGCACTGGATTGTCCACTGTCCCTTTTGATTTTGCAGTCCCTCGCCATATGACCCTTCTGATCGCACAAATAGCAGATACTACTTGACACTCTTTTCCTCTTCCTCACAGCTTGCATGGCTATATGATCATGTTCAGTGCTCTTTTCACATCGAGCCTTCCTGGAGTCATCGTAGTTCCTCAACCTCGTTCTCAGCTCTGGAAACGTCTTGGCTGGTTGAAAGCTCTCTTGCACGACAAAGTTCTCATGCGTGCCTTTAGCTCGGATTGGCACAGTCGAACCCTCCGACGAGAACGAAACCAGGCATTAGCGACGTTAGCTGCGAATTCGTTACGAAAAAGAGGGTAGCAATATTCCAGAGTTTTAAGTTTCAAATTCTCGATTTGGACTAGAGTATTTCTGAAAAACTTGAAAAAGGCCTTGTTAACCAGAAGGGGACAATAAGATCAGAACGAAAAACGGAAAAACGGAGCCTCTTATCGTGATAACAGGACACGATAAGACGCTTAACTGAAGAAGATCCGAAGAAAGGAAGGTCCGGTGGGACAGCTCTGAGGGGAAACGGTGGTTATCTCTGAGGGGAAACGGAATTGAAGGTCCGGTGCCCAGAGACTGTGTAAAACTTTTAAACGTACTTTTTAGCTACTGTGATGCCCCGAATAGTTGAATTATTACCAATTTTACATAGTATTTCAGAGCATGAGTAGCTAGAGAGAAGGAAAAGTCAATCCATCCCCAATGGGTTTAGTATAAAGCTGACCTACTAGACTGACCACCGTCGGCCTCTCTACACAGTAAAATTTTTCTTGAAGCAGCTTCCAAGCCTTCGTCCATCGCCATAGCCATCTGTTCCCACGCAGTGTGTTCTTTATGTACATCAAAGTGGTGTTGTTGGTGGAACCACACATTGTTTAGATTGTCTTTCCTCTGCTGGATCAACACTGCTCACTCCTGCATCTTGGTATCTTAGGCTGCCTGCTGATCAGCATTCGGACTCACGGGGAGAGTAGGCTCAGCATCTGGCAGATCATCATTGCCCATCAATGTCCTGAGCAGGCCCTTGGTGTGCATCAGCGCCACAAACTTCGTCGACCAAGCAGGAAAATCTCCAGATTTCCACTAAAGGCTGCCAGTTTCAAGTCCTTTGTTGCTTAAGACTGCTAGCTAAAAGTTAAAAACTCTGACAGAAAAATAATAAAAGAAAAAAATTAGAAATCTGGGCCCATAACCTGATAAGATTCAGAGTTAGAGCAACTAGGATTAAAAGCTGGGGTTAGAGACTGAGATAGAATCTGAGAATTGAATTGAGGTTGAGAGGAGGTACTGATTGTTGAAGAATGAATTGAAAGAAGTGAGTTTATATGAAATGACAAACTAAGCATCACAAAAGTACCAGTTAATTAATTACTGAGTAATTATAATTAGTTTGACATCAATAGTTGACCTTGTCTGAGTTTAATCAGTTTTGACTACGATTCAATTAATCTGTCTGACCTTGAGATGGTCTGACCTCAACAATTTCAACCTATTTTTTCAGCATATTGATCCAGTTTTGAAAATAACAAAAAGATGAGCTTTGAGAAAAAGACCTTATATTAAAAGAAGAGTCGAATGTTTACAGGAGACATTCCAGCTATCACGTGGCAAAGGATCTCAGCTACTGTTCTCCAACCGAGGCCAGCTCATTCTCTACGAAGGCGAGTGCAGACAGGAAAACATCCGATTCAAGAGCCGAGGTATGATTCGAAGTTACCCAAATCGAGTTGTCTAGTGAATATAATTTCACGAATGATTCCCAGCGCACTAAAAAAATATATTTTAACCCAATTTTTTTTCTAACTGGGTTAGTATCGTAAAAAAGTGGCAATCACAAAAAATTTTTGAATCTCAAAAAAACATTTTTGTGATAATTGTTTTGTAGGAAGCTATAGTGAAAAAGAGATCAAAATTTCACTCATTTCTATCGGTTTCCTTGAGTTATCTGGCACTTTTTAACTTCAGTTAGGTATGTTCTTAGTTTATTTCCTTATCCCGACTCTTTTAATACCAATTCAGTTGATACGTCGGTTCAGTTGGTTTACCGGGCGAAGTGGTCGAACCGGCAATGAAGAAATTAGTCATTTCTGAACGCCTCAATACTTTGTGATAATTGTGAAACGCCCTTAGAATTTTAAAATTGATATTTTATTTCAATTTCAGAGCTAGCTACCGAAACCTGTTCCACTGGCAATTTTGGAGGAACATTTATATCAAATCTTACAAAAGGATGGGTTCGCGAAGTTTTTTCTGGGCAAAACTGCTCAGAAGCTGTGGCAAGTCAAGGTTTCGAACTCATTCAAGGATGGATTGAGCTGTTTGATGTGGAGAATTCCGAGCCAGCTTGTGCGGTGCTGGGGGGTGTCTTCGACGGTCAATTTTTGGACATGTCTAAACGGTACACTACTGAAGGTTCATGCATTATCACTGGTCAGTAGCTATCAACTCAAAGACAGGAATATAAAACTTCTTTAAAAATTATCAATCAATATATATGTTTTTTGTTTGTCCTAATATTGCTGATCGAGACACCAAAACATATGTAGATCATTGCATCCTATTTAGCTTGAAATTAGAAAAACTGCTTAAATAAAACGCCTTGAATAAGTAAAAGTTATTTTCAAGGTTATATTCCAGAGTCAAAGTCGTATTCATTGTTAAAACTACAAAAATCAACGTTTTTGAACATTTCAACAAAAAATATACAATTTTTAATGAGCATTTGTATCTGTATGATTAAGTGATTGAGTTTAAGCAATAAAACAGTCTAAGGTAAAGTTTACAGGTAAAAAAAAACGGAAAACAAATAGGAATTTCATTCAAGTTTTTCCGAATTCAAAAAGCATTCAAGAAAATAAGATTCGTTTTGAACTCTAGAAGACTATCCATGTGTTCACGGATACTTCATCAACAAAACAGTTGTCCGTGATAGCCTGGACTCTGAAATCTATCTGGAAGGTTTGAGCATCCTTGACTGCGTCGAAGCCGCCATACTTGAATGGGGCAATGCGCGAGTCATTACGGGAAGATTTGACGCATCTGGAGTGTTTTCTGGGTGCCGCTCTTTGAGGACTAGTCCGAGTACTGAATGGACTCTTAAAGAAGAGGTGGGATCTGTCACTTGTTTTCTCAAAGGTGCTGGAAAAATTTTTACTCTGGAAAAAATTGATAAAATATGCTAGCATTGTGTTTATATTTGCACCGTAAAAACGGACAAAAACGTTTACTACTAAAAACCAACTGACCAGAATAACCTACAGAGACCGAAAATGCTAATCATACAATTCCATACGCTTAGTCTTTGGAAATTGATAGTCATTCAAAATAGATACAACATTTCTAAATTAGGGTAAAGAAATTGCAATTTTTTTGGTTTGGATTTGAATATCGTTGCACTGACAAAAGTTTGCTTTGTAAATACAGCTTATCAAACAACTTCTAAAAAGAAAAATTGTAGGACCAGGCTTTTCTTACTGTGGCGCAAAAATTTGATTGGTTTCCATAGCCCAAAATATTTTATCAGCATGTCGAAATGCAGAACACATTTTTGATCAAGACAAACTTCCCGGACTGGTCTGCCAGTAATAAGATTAAAACTAGTGATATACTTTTTTCAGTACTGTTCCAGGAAAAACCTTTTGTAATCCTTTGTAACAAGAAAAAACAGTAGTGTCAGTACTGGAACAGTTTTGTTACAGTACTGTTATTTTTATGTCACTGTTTTCGTCCTGAAACAGTAATTTATTTTTTTCAAATTTTCGAATTGATTCCAAAGTTTTGTTACGTGTCGTTAAAATCAAAAAAATAAGATAAAACAGACCCAAATTCAGCCCCCGACAGCTAAAATCAGCTGAAAACCGCCTTTTTCAGAATTTCTTTTGCTTTTTAGTGCTTTTTTGCAATTTTCAGTGCTGTTGCAGTGCTGATTCATCTCTATAACAGTGATGTTACAGTGCTGATTTATCTCTGTAACAGTGCTGTTACAGTGCTGATATATCTTTATAATAGTGCTGATTTTATCGCTGATTTATCTCTGATCAGAGATAAATTGACGCTGGCGCAGTACTGTAACAAAACTGTTTTTTTTTACTGTAACAGTACTGATTTTTTCTGCAAGATCAATCCAGATTTTTATCCAAAATTTTTCTGGCTTGCATAACGTAAATTTATGCAAGAAAACAGTAAAATTTGCAATGCTAAAAAGTTAGCCAAAATTTATTGTTTGATCTTTTCGACTATTTTGTACAGCTTAACAACTTATTACCTGTCTAAATGCATATTCAATTTTTGAACTAAGGTCTTCGACACTTGTACTTGGTTACGATCATAACCAAAAACGATGAAAAACCACTAAAAAATATGAGTACTTAGTTAATGGAAAAAATATCTAACACTTCCATTTATGAAAAAATAAAAAATTTATAGGTTTTCGGCAATGCATATTCAATTTTTGAACTAAGGTCTTCGACACTTGTACTTGGTTACGATCATAACCAAAAACGATGAAAAACCACTAAAAAATATGAGTACTTAGTTAATGGAAAAAATATCTAACACTTCCATTTATGAAAAAATAAAAAATTTATAGGTTTTCGGCAATTTTCTAAGTTTATGAAAATCAAGAGCCAGACCATTTCTATATAAATGATTAGAGCATTCTATATTTGGAAATAAAATGACAACCGTTTTTGACTGTTCCGGTTGATTGGATAAAAGGAACCCCGAGTTTGAATTATATGATTCTATCAAAAGGGATACAAATCAGAAAAGTACTGCTTGTATCCTAAAACTGAAAACTACTTACAAAAACAACCTTACAAAATCGGTGAATTAGAAAGTCGAAACCGCGCAGAACGAAAAAAATGAACTTTTATTTTTGTAGCTTTTTGAAACATTTAACAGTAATAGGCAGTCGTTTTTCTTGGGTCCTTTTTTAAGGGAAATCGTTTTTAGGTCGGAGCAGTTGCGGCGACGTTGCTGGAGTGCAAATAAAGGAAGGGGTGCAGTTCGACCAAAAGTATGTCGCCACCGGAGGTAAGTAATTATTTTTCTCTCAAAATCGGCACAGGTGATCAATCTCCCCCCTTAATAGACCAAGTGAACAATCTCCCCCTAAAAATAAACGGCAAGTTGAAGACGCAAGGCCTGCTTGTACTATGCTCATTTCTGATTGGCTGAGACTGAAAAATATTACTTTTAACCAAGTGAATTATCTCCCCCAAAAACTGCTTTAGCAATTAATCGCTTTGCATAAAACTCCAGAGGCGGATCTAGAACTTTCTCGGGAGGGGGCGGAGCGGATTTTCAAAAAAAAAATTCGAAAAAATTGTCGACCTTTTTTTAAGTCGACCAAATTGATTTTCCGAGCTCTCCCAACCTGCTCACAGTAAAACAGTAAAAAAAAATTATCGATTCTATCAT